TATATATATATCTAATTTTTTTTATTTAAATGTAATAATTATATTATTTTATTGTAAAATATAAAAAAGAAAAGGAGGTCTGACGCAAGGGTATCATACTGTTAAATAGGAGAAAACTGAAGCGTGAAAGACAACTGAATGTACATTTGATTCAATCAACACTGAAACAGCTATATAGAGCTGTTTTACAACCGAAAGAAACTTGAAATAACACAAAATAAAACAGAACAATAATAAAATCTGATAGACCCAGCTTCTAAATTGGTCGTGGTTGGCAAAACTGGAAGTAGGCAATGCTGACTGAAAAATAAATAACAGGCCATAATTTACATTGATGAGACACGTAAAAACCTCCAGAGCTTGTTCTTGGAGGACAACAGATTTATTAGAAAACATTCAACCCTCTTCTGACTCTGCACATCAGAATAGATATCAGGCAAGGATTTGTTAGAAAAATATAATGCATACTTAACAAGGGGACAACAAGTTGGGTACTATGGAATTTCAAGGCACTAACTATATACCAGAACAAAAAGGGTTTAACACTTTACCATCAGTTTTCATACAATATGGAAAACAATAGATACATGAAAATGATACAGAAAAACAGTTTCAACTTTCAATTCAACCATTTGTCTTACCATGTATGGCTTCCATATTATTTTCCTTGAAAACACCTAGAGGTGATTGATGAACAGAGAAAAGCATCTCGCCAGGTTTGGGCACTCTAAGTGTTCCGGGTGTCATCCCAATAGAAAACCTTTGACTTGTCACCTGCAAAATGCTTACAGAGCCAAATTAAATTCAGAACTAAACATCACAAAATTACTATAACAGTTGGATGAAAATCAGACAATTCAGACCTCAAATAAATGTTCTAATTATTCCAATCTTCATCCAACACTCAAGAGTTGTTGACCATGTCAATGCATAGAAAAACTAACTCAAACTAATCTAGATCCAGTTCATTCAGCTGTTAAAACTTAGGAGAACATGGATATGCTTATTTCTTAGCCAAACAAACCAGAGTTCATAATAAAACAAACAAATAAATACATAATAAAGTAGCAAGAAAGATGATACGAACCCCGGGAGTCTGAAGACCTTCCTGTACTGCTATAGTGTGGGTGTCAGATGACTCCTCCAAAGCCTGTATAAATAATAGAAATTTAGATCAAAACAGGACCAAAAAATATCCATTTAAATTGAAGAATTCTTCGAATCACTTTATGCATAAGATGGATGAACACGAGTAACGCTATTGCACCCATTTTGGAGTTAAACCCTGTTTATTCACACATACTCTACTACAAATGAAGAGTAATAACACTGTGCTAACAAGGAAAACATTGAGAAGATGTTCCTTTTATGTCAGGATTTATGTTTTTGAATTAATAACACGACATTCATCTTCTGTGTAATATTTTCAGAATCGCACTGCATTCAAGGCACCCTACGAAAGGTGTATGACAATAGCTAATAAATAAAGTGAAAAGAGAACAAACATACATTGTCCTTGAATTGAAGGTTATCAGCACCAATAAAGCTCATTCTCCCTGCCACCAAAGAAGTAACTATTGTCAATTGTCAATTATAAAAATATGTCAGGTTTTGCAACTATGTATAGGCATGGATAGGATGAAACACATTTTTATTCCAAAGAGCTTGAAACGTTGTGTTTGAATAAGTTTCTTCATTAGTACTTGTAACAATAAAGATTGAGAAAAAAAATGAATTTCTTCATAATCTAAAATTAGTCTATATATATAAATTAATTTTAGTGATAACAATGAAACAAAAGATGAAGAAGACTCGTAGAAAGGAAGAAGAATACGATTTCCGACATTAACAACATTGAATCTCAACAATGCACAACAAAGATATAAATGACAATAGCATTGAGACTCAAAATCCTCAACTAATATATATAAAAGCCCTCTCATAGCTTCTGTATATTAGTGAGCCTAAGATAATTTAAGCTTACGAAACTTTAATTTCATTTTTCTCTTCTACAAATATCTATGGATAAATTTATTGAAACAAACCCATAGTCCACTAAATTAAGGAAGCGCAGAAGAAGACTCTAATTTTCTAATTTTCTCAATTGCAGAACTAATGCGAAAGTTTTAAACATTTTCGAAATTCGAAAGTACCTGCACTGGCAGAATAGTCAAAGCCTGGAAAACGAGAGATGGATGCAATGAATCCTTGGAACAAAGAAGCGCGGACATCCATTCCATCGTTACAACCCTCTTTTTCTCTCCATTTCACTTCTATATTCTTGTTGCGTTCGTCGATCACGAGAGAGAGATTAGGCAGGGTTTCTTCAAAAACCTGCAACACAGGTTTCCGAAGCTCCTCGCTGCTGAAACGCGAGCGCAACAATCGCAGTTCCGTGAGCCAGTGCTTGATATCCGCGTCGCGACGCGCCCTAATCGTTCCAATTTCTCTCTCCATCTCTGCACAGAAGTTCAATTAAACCCAAAACACATCCAAAAAAAGGAAACTAAAATTGAAATGTGAATGTGAACCTTGGATTTCGAGGTCCATGAATTGAGGTGGTTGCTTCCGAATTTGAGAGTCTGGTATTGATTCGCGTGCTTTTGCAGATTTCTTCGTTCTACGCTTCGGCATTTTCTGGTTCGAACAATAAGAAAATGAGAATGAATACGAATGGACTGAAACTTGTAAATTTGTTCGTTGGGAAAGAAGACGCGGATAGTAAACTAAAGTTTGAAATTTGAACATATTAGGCCTTTAGTTATTGGGCCAACTATTCAGAAACGAGGGCCCATGATTCGACCATCGGTTCTTTCTATTGGCACCCCCACATATCCTTTGCATGATTTAAATTTTATTTCATATATTTATAAGTTTGAACTGCTAATATTGTTTAGTTTAATTAAAAAAATACTCATACGATACTGATGTACTTGTGTTAAATCAAATCTATTTCCTCATTTTAATTTTATTCTATTTTCTTTTTCTATCTATATATTGCTTTCTACCAAAGAAAGTTGAGTTTGAATAGAATTGTGATTGGAACTCTCCACCATCATTTTCATTGCACCAAAATCCACAATGTACATGGATGAGAAGGAAGCCAGATACATATATAACGCAAAAGCTAAACATAAAGAAATGTTTATGCTACAAAACCATGCTCCTAGGCTCATTTTAACAATCATCAAATCTTCTACAACTATTAGACCATACTTTTTATTTAATTCTTTGTAATTTTTATAACTTTTATTTTAGTATTAAATTTTTAAAAGATCCACACTTTTATTAATATTTTATTTTATTACTTATATATATATATATATATGTATATATATATATATATATAATATTTAATTTTTATTTATCCATAACTTTTGTTATGTAATGCAATATAACTTAATAGAAAGATAGAATAAAAATCATATCTTAATTTTATGAGTCAATTTATCTTAATATTATCAAATGAGATTGCTTACACATAAAAGTGTAATCAATGAATTAACTTATTTATCAACTACTTATATTTATTAATTATTTTTAAAATTTATGAAGTTTATATTAAAATAATAAATTTATTCGATAATAAATTTCACAAGCAATTTCTAGAGATAAAACGATGTTCCCAGAGTGAATTTCAACAAGTATAATAGTCTTCATTCATGAAAATTTTAGTGACTTGTTGCAGTTTATTATAATTATAGCATATTATCAAAGTACAGTTTACTGATAAGGTTTTCGTGAAATCATAAACAATGTTTACACATATATTTCTATCAACTTGTCTTCAAAGTGACAACAAGAAAAAAAAAAGTTAATTATTATCCTAAAAAATTTAAATTAATTTATAAGACTTCAAATATATCAATAACTTAGTTAAACTTACTTTAAATATAGCTTTTTTAATTAAAATGAGATAAATTTAGTTTATTAAGTAAAATAGAAATAATATATATATATATATATATATNTGCTAACAAGGAAAACATTGAGAAGATGTTCCTTTTATGTCAGGATTTATGTTTTTGAATTAATAACACGACATTCATCTTCTGTGTAATATTTTCAGAATCGCACTGCATTCAAGGCACCCTACGAAAGGTGTATGACAATAGCTAATAAATAAAGTGAAAAGAGAACAAACATACATTGTCCTTGAATTGAAGGTTATCAGCACCAATAAAGCTCATTCTCCCTGCCACCAAAGAAGTAACTATTGTCAATTGTCAATTATAAAAATATGTCAGGTTTTGCAACTATGTATAGGCATGGATAGGATGAAACACATTTTTATTCCAAAGAGCTTGAAACGTTGTGTTTGAATAAGTTTCTTCATTAGTACTTGTAACAATAAAGATTGAGAAAAAAAATGAATTTCTTCATAATCTAAAATTAGTCTATATATATAAATTAATTTTAGTGATAACAATGAAACAAAAGATGAAGAAGACTCGTAGAAAGGAAGAAGAATACGATTTCCGACATTAACAACATTGAATCTCAACAATGCACAACAAAGATATAAATGACAATAGCATTGAGACTCAAAATCCTCAACTAATATATATAAAAGCCCTCTCATAGCTTCTGTATATTAGTGAGCCTAAGATAATTTAAGCTTACGAAACTTTAATTTCATTTTTCTCTTCTACAAATATCTATGGATAAATTTATTGAAACAAACCCATAGTCCACTAAATTAAGGAAGCGCAGAAGAAGACTCTAATTTTCTAATTTTCTCAATTGCAGAACTAATGCGAAAGTTTTAAACATTTTCGAAATTCGAAAGTACCTGCACTGGCAGAATAGTCAAAGCCTGGAAAACGAGAGATGGATGCAATGAATCCTTGGAACAAAGAAGCGCGGACATCCATTCCATCGTTACAACCCTCTTTTTCTCTCCATTTCACTTCTATATTCTTGTTGCGTTCGTCGATCACGAGAGAGAGATTAGGCAGGGTTTCTTCAAAAACCTGCAACACAGGTTTCCGAAGCTCCTCGCTGCTGAAACGCGAGCGCAACAATCGCAGTTCCGTGAGCCAGTGCTTGATATCCGCGTCGCGACGCGCCCTAATCGTTCCAATTTCTCTCTCCATCTCTGCACAGAAGTTCAATTAAACCCAAAACACATCCAAAAAAAGGAAACTAAAATTGAAATGTGAATGTGAACCTTGGATTTCGAGGTCCATGAATTGAGGTGGTTGCTTCCGAATTTGAGAGTCTGGTATTGATTCGCGTGCTTTTGCAGATTTCTTCGTTCTACGCTTCGGCATTTTCTGGTTCGAACAATAAGAAAATGAGAATGAATACGAATGGACTGAAACTTGTAAATTTGTTCGTTGGGAAAGAAGACGCGGATAGTAAACTAAAGTTTGAAATTTGAACATATTAGGCCTTTAGTTATTGGGCCAACTATTCAGAAACGAGGGCCCATGATTCGACCATCGGTTCTTTCTATTGGCACCCCCACATATCCTTTGCATGATTTAAATTTTATTTCATATATTTATAAGTTTGAACTGCTAATATTGTTTAGTTTAATTAAAAAAATACTCATACGATACTGATGTACTTGTGTTAAATCAAATCTATTTCCTCATTTTAATTTTATTCTATTTTCTTTTTCTATCTATATATTGCTTTCTACCAAAGAAAGTTGAGTTTGAATAGAATTGTGATTGGAACTCTCCACCATCATTTTCATTGCACCAAAATCCACAATGTACATGGATGAGAAGGAAGCCAGATACATATATAACGCAAAAGCTAAACATAAAGAAATGTTTATGCTACAAAACCATGCTCCTAGGCTCATTTTAACAATCATCAAATCTTCTACAACTATTAGACCATACTTTTTATTTAATTCTTTGTAATTTTTATAACTTTTATTTTAGTATTAAATTTTTAAAAGATCCACACTTTTATTAATATTTTATTTTATTACTTATATATATATATATATATGTATATATATATATATATATAATATTTAATTTTTATTTATCCATAACTTTTGTTATGTAATGCAATATAACTTAATAGAAAGATAGAATAAAAATCATATCTTAATTTTATGAGTCAATTTATCTTAATATTATCAAATGAGATTGCTTACACATAAAAGTGTAATCAATGAATTAACTTATTTATCAACTACTTATATTTATTAATTATTTTTAAAATTTATGAAGTTTATATTAAAATAATAAATTTATTCGATAATAAATTTCACAAGCAATTTCTAGAGATAAAACGATGTTCCCAGAGTGAATTTCAACAAGTATAATAGTCTTCATTCATGAAAATTTTAGTGACTTGTTGCAGTTTATTATAATTATAGCATATTATCAAAGTACAGTTTACTGATAAGGTTTTCGTGAAATCATAAACAATGTTTACACATATATTTCTATCAACTTGTCTTCAAAGTGACAACAAGAAAAAAAAAAGTTAATTATTATCCTAAAAAATTTAAATTAATTTATAAGACTTCAAATATATCAATAACTTAGTTAAACTTACTTTAAATATAGCTTTTTTAATTAAAATGAGATAAATTTAGTTTATTAAGTAAAATAGAAATAATATATATATATATATATATATATTGATATTATAAGAAAAATAAAATCTTAAATAATTATTTAGTGAAAATTCTAAATCTAAACGTGTTAGAAAATTTTAAAAATGGTTTGACAAGTTAACTTATACTAACATGATGGTTTACTCGATTGATATGTTAATTAAGGTGGATATGTATAAGTTAATGTTGAACTACCTAATCTAATATGTTATTCCAAAATGTCTATAAATAAAATAAACTAACTTTCAATGATTTAATAACTTATTAATTTTATTCTTGATTTATTCCAAATATTTATAAAGTTTGTATTTCCAATATGTTAAATAGTGATTTATTTTTTTTATCAATAAGTAAAACATTTAAATTGTTATTTATAAGTATGAAGTAATTTAAACTAAAACCAATTTAGGATTAAAAATGAAGGATTTGTTAATTTCTAGCATGATTTTATTTTAAAGTTTATAACAATAATATCTAAGTCAAGAGATCGACATCACTCTTTACCCAAAACCTTCAACATCACTCTTTACCTAAAACCTTAAGGCAGTTAATGTGTCTTTCATCTTTATATACTGCTCTACTTTTTGGGACTTAAACTCACATTTGAATTTCCAACCGTAGTTAATATAAAATAATAATCAATATTCTTTTTATAATTCAGTCTAAAATGTCATTTTGTCCGTAATATATTAAATATATTTTATTATTAACCTTCTTTACATAGATAATTTCTAATTGGCAATACACGGTATATTCTTGGTAGCCAGAAGTCACCGTATATATTTTTTCAAAGCTGGTAAGTGCAGAATAAAGAATAAATGTTAAAGTTAGTTAAACTTTCCCTTTATTAAAGATTTGTGTTCATATTGAAAAGGAACGATTCCTAAAAAGTTAGAGCTGGATCTTTCTACTGATAACCTAACTTTTGATGAAAATGAAAGGAAAATTTTAATTATTGAAAAGAAAATTACATTCAAATTAGTAAGAAGTACAAAATATATGTATATAGAATAATTGATGACTCGATGTAAAATCATACATATTTATAAGTTTTTTATCCTATTAAATAAAGAGTTAAATAAATAATATATTAGATAAGTATTTAATTATATATATTTAGTTAATAAATATATTTTTTAATATCTCGAAATAGAGCGGTACAATCTGAAATCCAATTATTTGGTACTAGTATACTGTTTATAACTTGTAAAATATTTTATTGTTTTTTGTTGAAGAATAAACCATTCTATTTTTTATATAAAAAAATCATAAATATTTGACTAAATAGAATACCAATGACGCGGTGTGTTCTATGTCAAATTTAGTATTTGGATTTTTCTTCAAATTTTTACCAATTGAACACACCTAACTTTGACGTAGCAATGTATGTGGAGTTTATTTATTTTATTTTTTGTCAAATACTGTATTTTAGAGTTTGCGTTCCATTTTTTTAATTTATCCTTTTAGAAACGCCTACCTGCTCCTGCTAAATTAATACCAACTATATATAATTATATTTGATTTGGTTTAATCCCACCTCATTCAAATCCAAAATCATATTCAAAAATAAAAATAATATCTAAGTAATTTATTGTTTTTCGGGTCTTAGATCATAAAGCCCATATAAGCAACTATCAACCTTACAATAAGTAATATTCCAAAATAGAAACTTTTTATATCGTTATTTTACAATTTTTTTAAATGATTAATATATAATGTTAGACCGAAATACTTTGTAATATATAAGAACATATACATTCTAATATGGGAAAAGAATTTATTTATCTATAACTAAATTCATATCATTCATTTACCAAATTAATTTATAATTCATTTCAATAAACCGTCAAACATATACGTATTGTAATGTCAAAGTAATTAATTTTCACTTACTCATTTGATACACGTATTAGAAACTAGATGAGTCCATTCCCGAAAGCCCTTGCCAAGCTAGGCAACATCGTATAATCTCACACTTGATAATTCATAGTTGATATATATATATATATATATATATGTATATATATATATAAAT